GACAATACATCAGATAAATGATAAGTTGATACATCAGATAAATGATATGATATGTCAGAAATGATATGACAATATAGGAGATAAATGATGTGACAATACATCAGATAAATGATAAGTTGATACATCAGATAAATGATATGATGATATGTCAGAAATGATATGACAATATAGGAGATAAATGATGTGACAATACATCAGATAAATGATATGACGATATATGACACATATCATGTCGTTTAACTGATGTATCATAACATATTTGTTTGATGAGATAAATGATATGATGATATTGTAACTTCATTACTTGTTTATTTCTCTTTTACAGGTATTAGTGATGTTTCTATAAGCTACATAATAGTGAATAGAAATATTCACTACCTTGGAAACATTGGAAAGACAATGCAACATATTTCTCCAAATGGTTGGAAGTCCAAACATTCACGTGTGCCTTTAATAAGAAAATGTCAGACTCTATCGACGCTGCCGTTTGATAAGTTCCTATTATGTGTCTTTCTGGGAGTGCTCACCTTTCCTTGCTGTGTCCACTGTGTAATATTCAAAGTGGGGGTCGTGGGGCCTTGGAACTGCGATCCTGTTTACTACAAGGCCCTTCCCACTYTAGCAGCCAGGCTAGCTGTAAGCAGGATAAACGTAGACCTCAGCCTGGATCTGGGTCTGACAATGGACTTCATCATCCTCCAGGAGCCTTGTGAAACCTCCAAAGCACTCACCACTTATATTTATTATGAAAAGTCAGAAGATGCGTTAATTGGCTCTCCTAACCCTGGATACTGTATTGCAGCTTCTCTGCTGGCGAAGAACTGGGACAAGGCCCTCTTCTCCTACAGCTGTGTTAGCTATGACCTAGACCGGACAATTGGCTATCCAACAGTTGCCTGGACGGTGCCGTTTCCCATTGAGGTGCTGTTCACTGTGTTCAAACACTACAGGTGGGCCAGCTCTGTGGTCATCTCATCCAACGAAGACATGTGGATTGATGCAGCTGTGGGAGTGGCTTCTGCTCTGAGGAGGAAGGGGCTCCTCGTCCCCTTCGTCTCAGCAATGGGTCTAAATGAAACAGAGGTGGAGAGCACGCTGAGGAAGATCCAAAATGTAGGACATATAAGAGGTCAGTAAGGAGAATGGGCTAAAGACAGTTGTTATACAGTATATATGAAACCCCCCCTCCCCCAAAKGTAAAAAAGGGCAGATATGTATCCTTTCACCAGTTGATGATTGTCAAACCACCAAGTTTGCAGATGTTCTTACAGCTGCCGTATTAGAAAAAAAAAACATTWTCTTCACCATCAAACCTTGAAACATTTTCATGAATCATTCATATTTTTCATATGAAGCTAAAGACAAGAAAGGTCAAAGATAAGAATCTGAGAGTTGATTGGTAATACAAGAAAAAAAGTGTTTTGTTTTGGTTTGGGCTTTTTTTTTTTCCAAGGGAGTAATGTACAACAAAAACCATGTTGACTACTGACRCATTATGTAATCATCATTTTAAAGAAATAGTCTGGACATTTGGAACTAGTGATTAATCATTTTACGTACCTATTAAGAAAACTTAAATGATCACAGTTTGGAGAAATYGAGTTTAAGTTTGTCAGGACTGAGGAGCTAATGGCTTTGAATTCAACCAAGACCAAAGTGGTCAAATTGCTGCTTTCTTAAAATACCAGTCCAGAAGTCCCTGTTAAAGATTTGTATTTACCACTGCATTGATGATAATGTCACATTACACACAGATTTCCCAGCGATATATGTAGTGGTGTCCCATRACCAACATCAGTATCTGTATTGGTAACAATACCAGCATTTTTATAAGTACTCAAGAGCAGAGACTCAAAARAGATACCGATACTGATACTCCAGTATTACAGTTCACATTTTAATATAAAAGTTTGTCAGTTCCGTGTTTAAGAAGATTATGAAATTTTTAACTGTTGCAGTATTAGGCTGATTTGTGAAAAACTGGTTTCAGGACACTCCCTGTTAGTGGGGATATGACCCCCACAATAAACAGATAAAGTCAAAATACCGCCCCCCAATAAAATTACGTAATTTTCTCAAACACAAAATATATTAACTGGTTAAGTAGACAMATGCAACTCTCTTGTTGTCTTTAGGTAACTTTGACTTGATTTAAAAATTTACCATGTCATATACTGTATGTATGTTTGAGCATAATTGCTAAAAATGACATGCAGGGTTTTAGAGCATAACCCCCCAAATGATATATATACCTAATTAGCAAGCAGCACTCTTCTGTTGAAATAATAATGTAATATACAGTGGGGTGCGAAAGTTTGGGCAGCCTTGTTAATTTTCCTGATTTACCTTCATAAATCATTGATTGGATAAAAATTTCAGTAAAATATATCACATAGGGGACAAACACAGTGATATTTGAGAAGTGAAATGAAGTTGATATGATTTCCAGAAAGTGTGCAATAATTGGTTAAACAAAATTAGGCAGGTGCATAAATTGTTTGGATAAAAAAATCTGTTAAATATATCATATAGGGGAAAAACACAGTGATATTTGAGAAGTGAAATGAAGTTTATATGATTTCCAGAAAGTGTGCAATAACTGGTTAAACCAAATTAGGCAGGTGCATAAATTTGGGCACCAAAAAAAAAAAAAAAACCTTAACTCAGTATTAAGTAGATCCTCCTTTCACAGAAATAACATTCTCTAAACACTTCCTATAGCTTCTAATGAG